CAGCTACAAAATCGCTTGGTGTAATAATAGACGATAAACTCGATTGGCATAGTCACATCGAAAAACTAACGAAAAAGATCGCCTCTGGTATCGGGGCCCTAAAGCGAATTAGGCACCTGATCCCAGCATCAACCTTACATCTCATCTACCAAGCTTTAGTAAAACCTCACTTTGATTACTGTGACATTGTTTGGGGTAGCTGTGGGAAAACGCTACGAGACAAACTGCAGAAATTGCAGAATAGAGCAGCCCGTGTGTTGACATTCTCTAACTATGATGCTGATGCAACTGAGCTACTCGAGTTTTTAGGGTGGAAAAATCTTGCACGCCAGCAGGAAATCCATAAAGCCACCATGATGTTTAGATGTCTGCACGGGCTAGCTCCAAGGTATCTATATTCAAAGTTTACGTGGCGTGACTCTGCTTATGACCTCAGGGACTCTGAAAATAAGCTTAATGTTCCACTACCGCGCACTAATTATTACAGAAAAAGCTTTAGCTACAATGGCGCCACATTATGGAACAGTTTACCACGCGATGTAAGGAACACAGAGTCTCTGGGGTTATTTAAACGTAAGATCAATGACATTCTTTAAGTCTAACGCACGGCATTCACGGAAAACAGCTTTAGTGTTATAGTATGAGGTTTTAATTTTAAATATCTTAGCGTATGTGATATGTATTTTTATAGGCTGATGAATTGATCGTGTCGAAATAAAGATTACAATACAAAACAATGTTGATTCCACTTCGTGTCTCAGGGGAAACTGCCTTATTTGAGCGGGATCGCTTACGGATGGGAAGTATTTATTAATTGATTTTTTTTTTGGTGGATGATAAAGTGTATGATTGATTTTCTAAAGCGCAGCATTTGCCTGAAAAGAACAAAGTAAATTACATATTGATAAACAGAGCTGATCATAAATATTAACGTAATTTCCATTGGTACTCAAGATTTTTTTGCAAACTGAACATATATTCTCTTGTTCAGCAAAAGAGTGTAAATGAGTGTAATTGAGGATGAGGTCTCAGAATTATCTTTATAAGAACTAGAGAAGAGGAGGGGCTGCTTATTTGATACGAGTTGCATACCGGGCCCAGTTGTTCAAAGGGCAGACAACTATATTCAGCGGATAAGTGATAGCAAAACGCACTGCGCTATCCAACCTTCGAGCAACTGAGGCCAGTATTCTAACTTTTGGTTTTGTGAAAGGGGGTAGAGGAGTTGTATGAAGAGGCAATAGCTCGCTTCAATTAAAAATACTCCTTTTTTACTCGGAACTTGATTTACTACTCTGTAAAGTGAAGAAGTAAATTTTGCCAAAAGCGGAAAAATGACCTTTACAAAAATATGTTTACAAATATAAAGACGGGAAAATAGATACAGAGATACGAAGATAAGAGACAAAAATTATCAAAAGGTGAGGGAAAATTTCGAAACACGAGATACTCGTTGGGAAGGGGTTAAGATAGAGGCAGAAATAAAACCCACACTTCTATAAGGGCGTGTCACATGACATCTACAGGGCGGCGTGATTTAATTAAGGGAAGGGGGATTTAAAAGGGGGACTGTTAGTTCAAGGCTAAAGGCAGCATGTGTTAGAAATATATGTGCATGCTTATGGCAGTCGCTCTGACATCGTCTTAATTTGTGTGAATTTTGACATTTATTCCAGTTTGGATATATTTTCAAGCTTTATCATTTTCTGTTTTGTTCTGTTGAAGACGAAATCATATGTACTATACGAGTGTTAGCTGTATTTGATTTTGATTACCGCACGTAAGTTTACAATCTAACAGGGCGTGAAACTCTTAGAAACTCGGCCTGTCCATTTCGTTTTCTCTTAAGGATTTTCGTCTCCACACACGTTATAATAGTGCCAATTGCGGCGCTTGGCATGTTTACAAACATTTGTTTGGTTCTTCTGTTACTTGCCAGCTCACTTATTCCAAAATTTCACTTTCAATTAACGAAAAAAGGCCTGACATAGTACAAATTAGCAGATGCCGTGACACTGTACTCTATACTCTGACAGAGCACGCCCTTTCAACCAATGACAGCGCGCGTTATATCCGAACTTATCATAAAAGTATACTGGAATACTTCCACTTTTTTTCTATGCATTGGATAAAATAATTCGTTATCAACCTTGCCGTTTGTTCAATGTTTTTCCATCCTCCTAAATCTTGCAATAGTATGTGTTATGGAGAGTGACAAGAAGAAAAGTATCTAGAAATTTCTAGATTGCCTAGTCATGCTGACTTGCATGTATGAACTTTCTTTCTCTGGAACTTTGTAGAACATTCTGTTAGCTTTCCTTACTATGACTTAATACTACCAAAATACTACTGTTGTGGATATGCTCGTTCACTGAGGCACGAGGAAATTTAGCTTCATATATATGTTTTCTGTATATTTTTGAACTAGTAGAGTCTGACAATTTGTACAGAGGTTGTACATGAATCGAGGTCAAAAACTAACATGAACTGACAACTTGAAAAACACGAGGTAGTGAAAATATGTACAAAACTGCGCAACGACAGATATGCAAATAAGTATGCTGATTCAAGTGTGTCCATGTTGTAAGCTCCTGGAATGTCGGAGAATACATTGTGAGCGAATATAAAACACTGTCGTTTTAATTATAGTAACCGGTTGTTGTTGCTGTTGTCGGGAGTGACCGACTGTTTAGAAAGCTTTACTGGGAGAGAGATATTGTGAAGGAAAGTAAATATAATAATTAATTATTAATTAATTATTAATTATTAATTATTAATTAATAATTAATTATTAATTAATTAATTAATTAATTATAGTAACCGGTTGTTGTTGCTGTTGTCGGGAGTGACCGACTGTTTAGAAAGCTACACTGAGAGAGAGTTATTGTGAAGGAAAGTTCATATCAAGGAATTTTGAACTGTGAGATTGCGTCCGTGGTGAGGAAAATTTTATTTTGTAGAGTGCTAAATATATCTTATTAATCAAGCGCGAGGGCCGTACTGGGAGAATATTGGCCCGAGGTCTTGACAGTACGGACCGAGCGCAGCGAGGTCCGTACAAGAAAGATCGAGGGCTGATATTCTTCCAGTACGGTCCCGAGCAAGCTTGGTTAATAAGAGATTTATTATACGACTGAAGTTCAAAGGGACACAAGTGCGGTATCATTCGGGACCATTCGGGACAGTGCCCGGTCCAATACTGAGAGAATATTGACCGGCAATAGAGCATTTTCATTGGTTGATTTTAGTTATTGGCTCTCTGACTGCCCGAGTCGTGTAATAAAGTAAGTTATTGAGGCTAATTATTGTATTGTCTGTTGAAGTTGCCCCTAAGTAAGAACATTTCACGTCGTCCAATAACGTAGTTAAGTTCGTAGGATTGTAGGGTTTTCTGTCGGTTGAATTATACCGTAACATATGACTGAGTTGCAATTTCCTCTGGCTGTAATTAAAAAATGCGAGACTTTTCCAGAAAATAGTGGTCTTGCACTACTTATTCCTCTTGTTTTTTGTTTTTTTTTTTGTCCTTCCTCGTGATCTACAGCAGGTAATGTAGAGGGTGATCTGAGGCTTTGCTTGTGCTCCAGTTTGTTTTGAGCCTGCTCGTTTAACTTGCGAACTTCTCTTAATTCCTCTTTTAGTTTTTCGGTTGTCACTATGTGATTCTTTAGTTCACTCTCCAGTTGAGAGCGAAGGCGTTTTATTTCTGATGTTAATGATTCTTTTTCCTTGAAACATTCTTTAGTAGTTTCCTCCGCTTTCCGTTGCATTTCCTTGAGATTTTGACGGTGTAATCGGGCTTTTCTACTAGCAGCTTTTAGTTCTGCCAACTCATTTGCGTGCTTTTTTGTTTTATCACGGTCGTCTCTAAAAAGAGTTTCCAACGCTTTTCTATCTTCCCAAAATTTAGCTTTAAGGTTTTGATATTTCTTTTGGAGAAGATCATTTTCCTTCTGAGTTTTTAAGTAACGCTCAACAAGTACAGCTTTTTCTTCGAGTACCGCCTTTAACTCTAGATTGCACTTTTTAGTTTCATCTTCTCTTTCTTTGATTACATCATGCAGACCCTGGCATTCTTCTTCAAGTCGTTTTACCTTCTCGGGTACTTTTTTTCCTCGGCAGTTTTTCTTATGGAGAATCATTTCGATAATTGCACTGCATTTTTCTGTAACTTCGTTTTGGAGCTTTTCACACCCCTCTCTGATTACCGTTGATATTTCGACAAGTTCTGATTGGTTCTCTCGTTCATTTTCTTGTTCACCAGGAATCCCCCCAGTTTTCCCTACTGATTCATCTTGTGGTGAGCAACTGTTCACATCTAGAAGGCGAGAATGATCAAGAGAGCAGGTTAGACCCTGTGTATCAAACGCAAACAACGACAGTCTTCTTCAAGTCGCTTTCCTTCGCGATAACTTCTTCTTCTTAATGTATAAATCGCCTTAAATATAAGCTTTCTTACAACCTGCCGAGTGTTTTTTTTATGAAATAATGAAATCCTTTGGGGTTCTTTCTTCTACCACATTTCATATTCTCTTGCTCTTACGTAGAATTATTTACTTACTACCTTTTCCCATGATGGTCTTTCTTTCATCAAGCTCTTTCTCCAGATCCTCAACTCGTTCTTTAAGTTTATTGGTTTCTTTTTCCATATTTTCTTTAAAAGAAACAGTTTCGTTTTATTTTTGAAAACAAGCATCAAGACCAATCACGCACATCTTGTGCAATAAAAGGATAGATAGCACTTTCATGGATTTAGTTAGAAAGGGGAATGTGTCTTTGTAAGAAAAGAAGAATAAGTGAGAGAACGGGGTTTCAACAATGCTCTATTGCATAACTCTCAGTAGCTAAGTTCGGGGTCCGAAATGTACGCTAGGTGTATGGCCAGCTCAATTTTTGCTCAGGCAAAAATTCGAGAGGAAAAAGGTAGGTTCTTTAACTTACAGTACGGACCGAGAAAACGAGGTTAATAAGATATTTAGCATTTAATTTTTTTCCTCAAGCGTCTAAGTGGTCCGGAATCCTAAATGGATAATTCCGCGCGCTACAATGGTTCGGACTTTTCCCTTCCGGATCTCAGGTACGGAACGCTCCGAGTAGATAGATTCAAGAGAGAGGCTTAAAGATGTAAATATGGCAACCGGTGACTGGAGGTTATAGATTCGCTTTTGTTTTTTTGATAAAGGTAACATTTAAAATTTTGAAATAAAGTTATTATCGTAAATACCTGTTTCCTCTTCAAAATCTTTCTCCAGTGTAGTTTTCATGTCATATATGTCACTTCTAGCTTTTAAGCAACTGTTCAATCTCGAAATCAACGCGTTTTGTTCTTTTTTGTATTCTTTTTTCTCTGCAAACAAAAATTTGAGAACATGGAACATTCCGAGTACGTGAACAGGTTTCATATGAGAAACACCTTACAATCCCAAATACTCTAAGGCCGTGCTTGTAAGTTTTAAGTTAACTGCATTTTGCCAAAAAAATAATCATAATAATAATAATAAAATTTATACACTTATACCTTCCTGCCATAGGCCAAAAGCCAGAAACTCCTGGCTTCTGCGTAGGCTATCAACAAAGCCATCGAATGCATCAGAATCTTTCTTTTGCAGAATTTTCAAAAGTGCGTTGTTTTTGTCTTTCCTAGTAGCTTCATTTTCTATTAGATTCATATCTTCACCACTGATTATCTCCCTGGACAAAAGTGAAGGAAGAATTTTCTTCACTTCAAGATCCTTCGTGATAACTTCCCATTGTCTGTAAAGTACTTCGATATGCATTCCAGACATGCCACGACCTCCTTTCATTAATGCTCTTTCGACCAATCTAAAAAGCAAATGTATCTTTAGTTCGGTTGGTAACCTGGTCATCCTAGGTCCCTTTCTATGGTCCCGGATACCCGAGACAACCCTCCCCCCGAGACAACTCTACGGAGTGGTTGTATGAAATTTGACATCTGCTAACCCTCGTTCGGCTAGGCCACGTTATATATTCGACAGAGTGGCGGAAGACAGGAAAAGAATAGCTGTAATACGCAAGGGCTCAGGCTATGGCGTGTGCACACTTTGTCTGTTCAGTTGTCTTGTCTCGGGTCGGTGAGACAAGGTGTTTACTGCCAGGGATACTCTACCTGTCGGGGTGAGACAACTCATCTCCCCCCCCGAGTCGAGTTGCCTCGCGAGACGGGTTCATAAACTAATGTAAACGGTCGGTTGAATTTTTTAAAGAAATAAGTGAAAAGTTAGCTAGTCCAGGGTAACTCGGGAGGGAGGGTTGTCTCCGTTACCCGAGACCATGTAAATGGGGCCTAGTTTGACCATTCATAAAGGGTTATTAAGGAAACGGCTGTCCAATTACAACCAAGAGAAGCGACTTATAGTATCTTGATTACAACCACATTCTTAGTTCTTCAAGTGTCTATAACAGGAATTTTTATGGCGTGCTTATTTAGCTTATCATATGTAAAAACCAACTTCGATAGAAGAAAAATTTCAAAGAAAATTGAAACTCTGTTTTTTCGGGCCCTAAAGTATGGTTATATTGTCCATAAAGTGTCCCGTAGACTGCTAACGAGTTTGTGGGTGATGACGTTAGAACTATGAAAACTCCCAGTAGAAACTTTCAAATCTCTCACATCTCTTGCAATGATGTATCGGTCAGCGTCGACCTACTCTTGGAATAATGTCCGATAACGATGTATATCTACCTTCAGCAAGCTCTACCGAGAGTTGTGATATATCATATTCAAGTAGCAAAGAAGAAATGGAAGTTGCGAATATGGTTCGGCCCTACGAAGGAGAAACGCGTTCATCAAACGAAGCTATTGACGAAGACTAACAAAGACGGTTTCTCGTTTACGGCGTTCAGGTCAAGATTAAAATATAAATTAAAAAATTCCGATGCTGTCCAGAAAGCCGTCGTGAGCTTCTATCGTATAGGAGAAGATAAAGCTTTCGAGCGATTCAAGGTCTCCTGTCGGTGAAAAGCATTGGAAGTCTTCGGTAACACATCATAGGGATCAATGAATAGTCTAACAAATTTGAGTTCTACCCATTTTAGTTCAATTTGAACCCACATATAAAATAAGTAAACCTCTTCGCCATTTCACATTTTTAACATGAGACTTTCAGCGTCCTGCGACATGGACTCTTGTAGCATCTCGAAGGAGTCCCTTAAGCGGATCACAAACTGGACGGCCAAGTGCTACACTCACTTGGGCTCCCAATACTCAGTGCCCCAGTCTATTATGCATTTCATTCTGTCCATTTTTAGGAATATCTGCCTTCTGAGACAACTTTTAACGAAAGGGAAGTTTTCATGAGAGATTGGATAGAAAGCTACTAACCATTAGATAGAGGACTGTCAGGGCAAAGATTACAAAGGACAAAGCAGGTGCACTTCCTCCAGCTGTTTACGCACAGCCTATATCCCATTGAGATCCTCTGTTCCGGCAATAGGATATCAGGCTGGTCAGGAATTTATTTCCGTCATTAAAATACGATGAAAATTATAATTGGCAGGATTATCATACGATAAGAAAAGCGCATGTGTAGTCATAAGGAAGGACGAGGAGTATGGGTACATCTCAAGCGCGTGAAATAAACAAGAATAGGAACCTCACCATTCTTCGCTTGTAAAATGTCAGCCGAAAAGAGTGGTGAAACAATCGTGTCTGGTGTGGGACAGGCCGCTAAATCAGATTATTGTTAGCTGAATTCACCGGCCATCTTCCCCTGATTTGACTTGTGTTATGTGTTCTTAATAGTGGATGACTTAGAAGAGTAAAATCTCCTCAGTGTCGACAATCAAAACGCTTCCATTATGGCCACACAGCTACATCTTCTGGAAAGTAGTGTATAGGAATACACTGTGTATTTGTATTATTCTTGTAGGTAACATCATTTGCCGTTCCGGCCACGTAATGCGTTCGTCCCTTCATCTTGAGTTCTCCTTTCTTCACAATAGTTGCAGACGCGTCTTATAACAATTTTACGTCACAGCTATGTAACATGGTTGTTTTGGCCGCGCGCTAAATGGGGACACTTTTTTGGCCGCCAATCGTACTTTCAATGCGTAAAAAATTGGTCAAAGAGAACTCGCTAGACGCTAAGGTCGATAATTTCAAATTTTAAATACCAGCTATCAATCAGAAAAGGCAAAAATTGTGTCACAGGCACTATAATCGCAAAGACTAACTAACATCTAATTTCTCCCTGGAATTTCACCCTTGGGTCAAACATTAACGTCACAAGAATAAAGGACATGATCACCAACTGAAGAAACAATCTTGACTGTTAAGAAAAATTCTCCTTGTCTTCGCCATATGAAATTTATAGAGAATATTATGGAAAATATGCAAACTAGTGATAAGGTTGAAACAGGGGAAAAGAATTAAAAAAATAAATTCGAACCGACAAATAGGAGGACGTTTATGCATCATTTTTACCAATAGCTGATGCATTACCCAAACATTGCCCGGGTCGTTGTGCTCCATGAACCACCATCTAACCGTATATGAAATGGGGGGCATTATGACGATAATGGTGCGCGTCCCAGAAAATTATCTGTCAATCCAACTCCTAATGCAAAATTGCTTTCAGACAGGAACGTAAAAAATTACGATAGTTTTTACGTGTGTTTGATATCGACAATCAACTGCTGACATGTCATTCGCCTTTCGCTCCGCTTGATCAGGTTGAGAAATGAATGGCAAAGCGTTCGCTATTTTCACTCCAGTTGTTCGTCCAATTTTCAGATTATGGCAACCACCAACAATAATAATAATAATAATAATAATAATAATAATAATAATAAAAATTCATGTTGTTCACATAAAGCGAAGTTCAAAATTTCCTTAAGGGGGAAGAACACCAAATACGAAAAGGAAAACCGAAAGTTACTTGGCTTTGTTGATGGCATTTCTCGCGGCTGGGAACGAAAATTGACAACTAGGAGCTTTGCCACAGGCCGATCTTGACCTTGGACTTGAGCGGATTTCTTTTTTTTTTCTCTTCTCTCTTCGGTGAGGAAAAGGTTGTTTTGTGAGAATTTTGTGAATTAGTTTGTTTTAATAATGATTCAACGCTTCTTTTTTGTCTTAAGACTTATCATCTTAGTTCTTTATGATTTTCTTTTCGCGGATTGAATTAATCAGTGAAGTTGACTTTTCTCTTCAGTAAGGGCCTATTGTGTTTCTATCTAGACATGCGTAATTCAGCGAACGAGTGAGATATCGAGAAGAGGAATTCCATACCTGCGCTCCCTCGTATCATTCTCTATTTATCACAAATTCCTTTCGTTGATTCAATAGTAATACCTTATTTCTTCCATTTTTCGTTCGAGTTGTCCTTGATTCTCTATGGTAAAATGGATCATCTCATGAATTCCAAACTTTTTAAGCTCTCCTCTTATCTTCGCTTGCGTTTGTTCATACTTGTTGTGGAACGATAACAAGCTTTCATCGAGTCGATAAAGCATTTTCACTCGAAGATTTTTATCGCTGCATGATATTTGCTTTACCACAGGATCATCACTAGATGGATTTAACACTGCACCTGAAATTGCATCGTCAATGCCACGGCGATTTTCTTCGTATAATGTCTCAAAGCTGACGCCTGCTTTAAGATTTATGTCCATGACGACGGGAAAAGCTGTATAACCTCTCGCAGAAAGAATACGTTCCCGAGGTGTCTTACTTCTTGATGATAAAAGCCTGCTGCGGCGACCTGATGCATTCCGCAATTCAGGAGGTATATCGTCAGCCATCTGCTTTTAAAGGCTTCGACTTGAAAGCAGTCACTGTAATTGCATGGACTCTAAAAAACGAATAAACAAGCACCTAATAAATAATAAAACTATCTTCTCCTAAACTTCAAAAGAGGACTCCCGAAGAGCTCAGTGCCTATCCTATTTCCCTACCCACAAAGTAATGATTTCGTCCTCGATATAAGAGATGAGAGGGATTCTACGTTAGTATCCTCAATTTTTCCCATCGCTAGACCAGTTCTGCCTATCAAGAGAGCTAAAATGTTTAGTATGCGATATCGGTTTTTAAGTGCAATTTAACGCGGAATTCATGAGTCAGGTAATGAATTTTCCTTGAATCGCATAACTGAGTGAAAATAAGAAAACAAGAAATTAAATCGGCAGTATTATTGTTTGTTTTTATCCCGAGCGGGCGCTCCAGAAAGCCATTTCAAAGCCAATTGTCAGAAGTGTCATTATGTTAGCGAATAGAAAGCAAGGTTAGTCGTAGACGTTTGAACCTTGGACAATTATATTTGTACCTCGTGCTTGACTATACATTTTCGAACTTTTTAAACAAGCTCCACACTATTTAAGGATAATAGTGGTATTTGACTGAATTTACGAGCCGTTTATTGTTAACAATAAAGATTTAGAACAACAAACATATGAAATACATATATATGAACTGCGGTTGTGAAACGTATATGTGCACGATCCTTCGCAGTAAAGCGCTAATAGTGCTTTACTGCGAAGGATCGTGCACATATACGTTTCACAACCGCAGTTCATATATATGTATTTCATATGTTTGTTGTTCTAAATCTTTATTGTTAACAATAAACGGCTCGTAAATTCAGTCAAATACCACTATTATCCTTAAATAGTGTGGAGCTTGTTTAAAAAGTTCGAAAATGTATAGTCAAGCACGAGGTACAAATATAATTGTCCAAGGTTCAAACGTCTACGACTAACCTTGCTTTCTATTCGCTAACATAATGACACTTCTGACAATTGGCTTTGAAATGGCTTTCTGGAGCGCCCGCTCGGGATAAAAACAAACAATAATACTGCCGATTTAATTTCTTGTTTTCTTATTTTCACTCAGTTATGCGATTCAAGGAAAATTCATTACCTGACTCATGAATTCCGCGTTAAATTGCACTTAAAAACCGATATCGCATACTAAACATTTTAGCTCTCTTGATAGGCAGAACTGGTCTAGCGATGGGAAAAATTGAGGATACTAACGTAGAATCCCTCTCATCTCTTATATCGAGGACGAAATCATTACTTTGTGGGTAGGGAAATAGGATAGGCACTGAGCTCTTCGGGAGTCCTCTTTTGAAGTTTAGGAGAAGATAGTTTTATTATTTATTAGGTGCTTGTTTATTCGTTTTTTAGAGTCCATGCAATTACAGTGACTGCTTTCAAGTCGAAGCCTTTAAAAGCAGATGGCTGACGATATACCTCCTGAATTGCGGAATGCATCAGGTCGCCGCAGCAGGCTTTTATCATCAAGAAGCCAACAAACACGGGCCTACTATTACACTACCAAAACCATGTAGACA